ATCATCACATATCTGTCCCTATCCGCAGGAATCCATGACATCCAGGACTGTAAAGACGAGCTTCGAGTACCGGAATGCGACCCGATTCTTGGGCCGCCAAGGGGGCATCAACTTGAGCCGAAAGAGATGGACATTTTACGGGGCAAGCGCTGCTGCGAGTCCTGTGAGGTATGATGTGAGGACCAATCTGCAAAACAACTGGATCTTTTGGATAACACACCACGCTAGCGCAGACATGAACTTTAGTGCATGGGCATCATCAAAACGAGTCATCTGGCTACTACTTGCGCAACCCATACCAACAATAAGTAATTAGGTATCTATAGGATGGAACATAGAAACATGAGAAAACACGTTAGAAACAACCAAGGCAATAGATTAGATGGAGTAGACCACATGAATGGATGTACGCTCACACAGAGACAAAATGGCTTGGCCTGTCAATGACTTCGAAATGCCCTGCCACATCCGAATCCTTATAGGTCTCTAAATCCATAGGGCGTGTGTACATATATCTATTGTATTATGTATATAACTGTATATATATATATACTATACCCTCCAGTAAACCAACATAGTTTTGGAAAATCACAATTTCAAATAGGTAAATCAACTATAAACTGAACACTTTTCCAGAGGGAATATATAAAACCAATTAAACACTTTCATCATTCACTAGCACCAATAAAAGGGAATCTTCAGCGCAAATAAACGCCTCTGAAGCTTGCTTCTCTTCGCGAATGGCGGTGGCCAAATCTTGTTTCGCCTAGCCGGTACAGTAACACCCAGTGTCAACATCCTGTACTGCTTGGTACAGGTAGGTTTTCTGATAAACATTGAAGGCCTGTTTTATGGCCTAGGCCTAGTAAGGTACATTGTTGCTTTGAGGACCTGAAGCCATGAAGCCATAGCTGAAATGAAACGTACAGTATATGTACATATTATATATATATATATGTTGAACAGCAAGTGTGTGTGTATATATATATATATTAGAGAGAGAGAGAGAGAATCAGTCTACGTACAACAAACTAGTCTTAAAACCAATATCAACCAACAGCTATAGGGCTCAACTGTCAAGTGCTCAAGTGCTTCATCTGGCAGTCGATATAAAACCACTTGGAAAAATGTGGACATCATGTTTGAATATCAAAGGGTAAAACCGTGTTTTTTTATGATATCCCATTCATTCCCATTCTATATCCCCATGACTGTCCCATGAAATCATATGACCTTCACCATGGGACGAAAGGGATGAGCTTTCTACGGAGACCTTGATCCGCAGAAATCATCGAATTATATATATTTTAAACAAGGGCATGAACTTACCCTCTCGTAAACGTTTACATAACAATGGAAAGATCCTTCATCTTTAATGGGTAAATCAACTATAAATGGGCAATTTTCAATAGCTATTTTGACATAACCAGAGGGTACTACATGATTGTTTTTTCTTTCACATCTGCTGTTGTTAGCAATGTCTTATGCAATACATTGATACTGTATATATATCCCATAGGATCCATGTATGGTATATATATGCTAACATTTGGGGTATGGATGGTATATATGCTAACATTTGGGGTATATTGATGGTAAATGTTACCATATATAGCATACATGGATCCTATGGGTATATATATATATATATGTCAAGGAGCATTCCATATCTGTTCTTCACACCTTGATGACCACTGACATGCCCATGAAATCCTGTGACCTTCAGCAGTTCCAGTCCCAGTTTGCTGATCTTTTCTGCATCCTCGTCAAACAATGACTTTCAATGGATTGAGATACGAAAGTCGGACATGGAAAATGCTAGGGCGATGTCCCATGAATGTTCTAGAATATATATATATATATATGTATATATATATATGTATATATATGTATATATACCCGAGGGATATACATTAAATGCTAGTTATGTATATATATATATATATTATCCTGTCCGTATCATGCGAAAGAAAGTCATTAAGCAAGTCATCTGCAAGATAGTCACAAAACATCAGAAGACAATTTTGAAGGATCCAGTCTTTTGCAGGTTGGCGATGGAAAAGTCAGACTTCCAACCACAGAAAATGTCCCCGACACGTAAAAAATACAAACAAATACCTGCTGGTCCGGTGCCACAAATCTGTTGGGGAAAATTGTTTATCACAATTTCGACGTCATGTCATACACTCCACAAATAGGGTACCTCTAGTGTTCTATCATCATCTTCCCCAAAAAAACATCCCATGGACCGTGGCATTTTGAGTATACCCCATTTTGGGATAAACCCATTGGGCCCGGGGATCTCCAGGGAAAAACCAAAGTGGAAGAGACAACCGGATGTTACACCGCAATAAAGGAACCAAAGGAACTCCCGTTCCAAGGGGCTGGGATAATCACATCCCCCTGGTCCTCCAGAAAAATCGTATGTGCCAACAGTGGTGGTACTCAAGAATAGCAGATAAACGCAGCAGTTATGCTAGTAATACATCAATCAATTTTGTGAATCATAAATCGCCTGTTAATCCCCATCTGTCTTAGACTGTTGGAGTTGCTGGTTATATATATATATATATATAAATCACTATGCATATATCAATAAGCTATTTCTGGTGACCCTGGTCAATCCTCCTGGTTCTGCTTCAGCAAGTCAGAGATCTGCCCAAGGGCTTGGCCAGGCTGATTTGGGTGTGTCTGAAACGTTCGGTGGGTGCCCCAGTTCCTTCGCTAAGTTGGTTTATAAAATCAAAAGAACGATGTATGATGGGATAAACATATAATCATATATATATATATACACAATATAAGTGTGTATATATATATATATCAAATAGTAAATCAATGTATATGTATATATATATAAGATATAAGTGTATACAGTATATGTATACATATACATATATATGTGTGTGTATATATATATGTGTGTTTTGTAAGTATCTGTCTATCTATTCATCCACCTACCTACCTATCTGTCCGTCTGTCTACCTATCTACAGTTATTGGATAAACCAACTTGCAACTTTGGGGCCACCATCGGAGGCATTTTTTCCCAAACCCCATCCCCTAAACCCTTCCAAAAACAACACAAGTCCTGGAGATCACTTCCCCGAATCAACTGATGGTCATGGAGGTACCTTATACCCGTCAGCATACGCGCCATGGTCAAAACATGGATTCGTCGTGAGGTATGGTCATCCCACCATCAGGGATTCCTGACAATGGGTATATTAACCCCGATTAACCATGTTATAATGTGGAGATGACATTTGAATTAACCATGAGCTGTGCAATTCAACTTTCACCAAGCATTAATAATTAAGCCGCTCACCGGCCATGGTGCCACCTTAAGGCCGCGGAAATCTGAGAGTACTTCTTCCAGGGTGTTGTAGAAGAGTTCCTGCCGGTGTCAGGTGAAAGTGGCGAAATGGTGTGTCCAAAAATGGTGGATTAAACCACAATGAATGGCCATTGGATGTGGGGAAAATACTGACTATCCACCGGGCTGGGGGGGATCCCAATTTCTAACAAACACATTGAAGCAACTCACAACACGGATTGAAGTAACGTGCAGTGCATCATTTCAGACGTGCGTGTTTAGCTAACAAACATGCACGGATGTTTGTAGATTCGGCTTGACTAACGAAGCAGTGAATAATTATGTGCGCAACTACGCAAAGAACACAAGGATGCAAACAATATGATAAATGTAGGTATCTCCCAGCAGCAGTGGGAACATTTGGGCCTGGACAAACTGAAATCCTGTACCCTGGGTTTCTGTTTGGTTCAATTCTCATCTTTGACACTGAACCTGACATGGCCAATCTTGGTTCCACTGTATCATTTAAACAAAACATCGTGCGTCATGTCTAGTAACAAAAATAGCATGTACTAAAGTATCACCAGTTGGTTTCCAGGTATCATAGCATATTAAATCCGGATTTTTGATGCTGAAATCGCCGTTTTTTGCTGGTTCATCTACCGCTGCTGCCTGTTGATGTTCCTCCATCAAGCCGCGCAGGGTTCGGATCCTTGGCCACTTTGGAGGTTTTCTGAAATAGGGGTACCTCCAAATGATCCAAAGTTAGACCAAAACCATTGTTTTAGGGATCCCCCATGTTAAGAAACCACCATTTGATTGTTCTTGTCTTGTGCGGGTGTGTGTGTGTGTACACTGCTAATAACATGCAGTCTAAATATTGATTTGGCAGGGGAGTGCGGCATGATTGTGGGACCGCACTCAACGAAGCTACCACAATCATTGGATACTGGGTCTGATCAACCCAGCGTACCTGCATCAGAGGATAGCAACCGGCTAAGCTGAGAACCGGAAACCAAGTAACTTTGATATAGCATCCGGCTAAGCTGAGAACCGGAATTCATTTTTCATATGTCATAATTCATGACTCATGTCCCAGGATCCGTTTCAGGCCCTCTATTCAGGAATTGGTGGTGCTCTTTTACTTCACCTCACTACGATCGAATCTATATATCCCACAGTGTGTTTTGGGTACTTTACCTCACTTGGTAGTACCGTCTGTCCGTTTCGACGGATATGAAAGTTATGACCGGGCATTTTCCCGGCTGCAGAGTGGGATGTCGCCAACATCCTGAAGTCCCCTTTGCATATTACATGCAAAAGAAGTAGACAATGTCAAGGTGGACATTGAAGTTCGTTCAACACATATTGACAGCCATAAGGCGAAGTTTAGCCCAATTGGCGAAGTACCCACAAGGGAGAAGTTCACATGACGAAATACTCTGAATGCGCGCTTCTACCAGTACATGTGGTTGGAATCTCAGTAGCATTTTCACCTCACTCGTCATCGTCATCAGGTTCTTTTTAGGCTATGTATTCATTCTTTTCGGCAGGCTCCTTAGGTTTGTCTTTCCAGGTATAGAACATGTTTAACGTTTTGTTTCTCACATCACTCGTCATCGTCATCAGGTTCTTTTGAGGCCATGTATTCATTCTCTTAGGCAGGCTCCTTAGGTCAGATTTACTAGGTATAGAACATGGTTCAACGTTTTAATTCTCACATCGCTCATCATCGTCATCAGGTTCTGTTGAGGCTATGTATTCACTCTCTTAGGCAGGCTCCTTAGGTTTCTGGAAACCATGGAGATGAGGTTTGATTTGACAGATCAAATGACAGTTATGGGTGTCACTTGA